CTTTTTCCAAAAGTCTCAACCAACGTGGTGACCAAAACTGGACGCCACATTCCAGGGATGGCCTTACTAAGGCTTTATAAAGCGGTACTAATACTTCACGCAATTTTGATTTGATGCCTGTTTATACCACCAAGGATTATATTAGCTTTTTACGCACGCTGTAAAAAAAAAACACCACCATTTTCCAGGGGCTCCTGAACGGTGGTTAAATATCGGTGGAGCCCGGTTAACTCGGCACCGAAACCAAACCTGAGCCCATCAAAACACATTTTCAAACGTGCTAACCAAACCGAGAGAACCCGGTTCGGTTCCAGTTTGACCGCTTTTCGCTGCAGAGGGCTCTTTAAAAATCCAAATTTGGTTAAAAACAGCAGAGCCTCGTTAGGCATGAATATTTATAAAGCCAAACGAGAGGGAGAGGTAAACAAAGCCGGGGAAAAAGTTAATTTGATTTTTTTCTTCTCCAAAAACCCCTGTAGCTCAAGGTAATGTAAATTGTTATTAGTTGAGGGTTGGAGTTATTTATTGAAACGCCTTTCCACCTAACCCTATAGCTTCTTTTAATTGACTTTCTTTCCAAACTGCAAATTTAAAACTTGGCTGCTGAGGTAGAGCTGAGCATGTTGGTTATATATTTCCCCCCCCCTCTTTCTTTCTCTCTCTTTCTCTCTCTCTCTCCCCCCTTCCCTGACAATCGACTATATAATTAAAGAAAACAAATCATCTTTATACAACATTTATGCCGGCAAGACAAATTTATTTGTTTTGAAGGCTCGTTCTCTTTTATCCTTGAAGATCTGGTGTGCTGTTAAGACTTCTATAATATTTAACAGGGCCACATTTAAAATGTAAACTATTTCCACGAAATTGACCAAATCTTCCAAAAAAAAAAAAAAAAAAGGCACTCTGCGGAGACATTTATGCCTCCGAGAATAATTTGGGGAGATGCTACAATTTCTCTCTCTCTCTCTCTCTCTCTCTCTCTCTCTCTCTCTCTCTCTCTTTCTCTCTCTCTCTCTCCTCTGAAAAACATGGGCCTGCCTTTGGATGCATTAAATCAAAAAGCAATTTCAGTCTGTAATGCCCAAGTAAATAATTAAATACTTCCTATCTCCCACAGTATTGCTTCAATTTATTTTGAGCCCGGCGATGGGGGAAATGCTACGCGGGTACCCCAATAACTTTAAAATAAGAGCCGATTGCTCACTAGAGGACTCTTGAGAGCTTTATAGCTCAACTTTTCACCCCAATACTGTTGGAGGGGTTTGGGGAGGTTGGCTCAGCCATGGACATGCTTAGCTGGTAATGGGTTGGGTCTTGCCTGCTTGTTTCAGACAATACTCCGCTCTGGTTGAGATTAAGGCTATAAATTGCTCTTCTCCATCAGCTGTTGGCATTTCTGGCCTGTATAAGTTGAGTTTTTACTGACGAGAGACTAAAGGCACCAGTGGTGGGATTCACATTTGTTTACTACCGGTTCTGTAGGCGTCACCTGTTGGGCATGGCAGGGAAAGGATGCTGCAAAATCCCCCTTCCCTCCCCACCCTGCAAACCTGCTTTCCAGCTCCGTTCTCCTGTGCAGGGCAACCAAAGAAGACCCAGCCAATCCGCTGGGACTCAATGGGAGGCAGGGAATAGATGGGGTTGGTGGGGCCAGTCAGAGGTGGGATTTGCCGCTCTCCCAACTACTCAAAATTTCCGCTACCGGTTTTTCAGAACCTGTCAGAACCAGCTGAATACCACCTCTGATAAGGGGTTTCTGCTGGACGCTGACTCAGAATGCCACAGCAGGTGAATCAGATACTGTAGGACGAGAATGGAGAGGAATCAGTAGTGGATATAGGACATTTTAGTCTTATGGGAAGGCTTGGTCAGGAATCAGTGAGTTTGAACATGACGTGTGTTGATAAAAGGTAGTCCTCGACTTAGAACCATTCGTGTAATGACCGAAGTGGCAACGGCCCTGAAAAAAGTGCCTTGGGATCCACTTAGGATGGCCCTGCGGTTATGTCATAAAATTTTTTGGGACACTTGGCAACTGGCATGGGTATAAAAATCATTGAAAGAAAAAAAAAGATAGATACATGACTAAGACAGGAATACAGATGACTACATCAAGAAAACAATAGGTATATAGATAGCTGGATAGGTAGAATGGATGGATGGATGGAAGATGCAGAGAGAGAACACATAGGATGGTAAGGTGGATGGATGGACAGACAGAAAGACAGACAGAATTGATACAGACTGACATTGATGGACAGAATGAATAGATAGAATGGATAGAGGAAGAGAATAGAAAAGATGGTAAGGTGGATGGATGGACAGACAGATAGATAGATAGAATGGATAGAAGGATAGACAGACAGACAGACATTGATGGACAGAATGAATAGATAGATAAATGATATAGAATGAATAGATAGAACTGATAGATGGTTGGAAGATGGAGGGAGAGAAAGAGGGAGGGAGACAGAATAGATAGGATGGTAAGATGGACAGATGGATGGACAGACAGATAGAAGGGATGGATGGATGGATGGATGGATGGATGGACAGACAGACATTGACAAACAGAATGAATAGTTAAACAATAAATTATAGAATGAATAGATAGAATGGATAGAGGGATGGAAGATGGATGGATGGATAGATAGAATGAATAGATGGGATGGAGAGGTGGGTGGATGGATGAACAGACAGACAGAAAGACAGATAGATAGAATGGATGGACAGATGGATGATTGATCCTTGGAGCATTAAAAGTTGGGGTGAAACCAAACCTTTCCTGTCACAGTTGTTAAGTGAACCACTGCAGCTGTTTAAGTTAGTAACAAGGTTGTTAAACAGGCTTTGCTTGTTGGAAGGACACAAAAGAGGGATTGTGTGACTCCGGGACACTGCATCATAAATATGAATGACTTGCCAAGCATCCAAATGTTTATCAGGTGACCAGGGAGATGCTGCAAGGGTTGTAAATGTGAAAAATGGTTGTGTCATTTTCTTTTTCAGTGCCGTTGTAACTTCGAACAGCCACTGAACAAACTGTTGTAAATCGAGGACATCTTGAATTAAGCGGGTGTGGAAAAGGTGACACGGACAAGTTTACGGGAGACACAAGCATACACACGCTTTTTAATAGCTACCTTGGTTGGAAAGTTGTCTTGGACACAGAGAAACCGAGAGTGAGCTGAACCAGAGAGAGTGCAGGTTAGGACGGAATGAAACCTCAGCCCAGCCTTGCCAATCAATCAATCAGAATAAAGCTGGAAGGGACCTTGGAGGTCTTCCAATCCAGCCCCTTGCTCAAGCAGGAGATCCTATACCATTTCAGACAAATAGATGTCCAGTCTCTTCTTTAAAACCTCCAGTGATGAAGCATCCACAATTTCTGGTGGCAAGCTGTTCCACTGGTTGATTCTCCTCACTGTTCGGAAGTTTCTCCTTAATTCCTGGTTGCTTCTCTCCTTGATTAGTTTCCATCCATTGTTTCTCGTCTTGCCTTCAAGTGCTTTGGAGAATAATTTGACCCCCTCCTCTTTGTGGCAGCCCCTCCAATACTGGAATAGTGCTATCATGTCCCCTCTAGTCTGTCTTTTCTCTAGACAAGCCAAACCCAAATCCTCCAACCGTTCTTCATACGTTTTGGTCTCCAGGCCTCTTACCAATTGTCCTCTTGTGGTGATCAGGATGGATAATAAGCTTAATGAACTACATGATGGTCTAATGAAGTATATATAGTCCATCTGAATGCACAGCTGCGTGGAAATGCAACAGCATGCCAGGGCAGACTGAAACCATCATGTGCCAAAGACTAGGAAATGATCAAAAACAATGACGGATGGATGAAAGTATCAAGAGTCAAGGACATGAACTTCCATGCTCAAGAGGAGAGAGTTTTCTGTTTTCTAAACTGTAACAGTATTTTGTGACTTATAAACTGGATGAAAATTAGCTGGTCAAGTCCAGTACCCCCCCTGGATGTAAAACAGGTGAACGAGAGGGCTCACCAGAGTGGAAACCCAATAAATAATTGCTGTGTAGCTTTTCATCCATCATAAACACAACAACTAATCTCAGTAAATGTTACAGGTGATTTAGCAATGAAATAAGGATGTTCCAGAAAGAAAGAAAGAAAGAAAGAAAGAAAGAAAGAAAGAAGAAAGAAAGAAAGAAAGAAAGAAAGAAAGAAAGAAAGAAAGAAAGAAAGAAAGAAAGAAAGAAAGAAAGAAAGAAAGAAAGAAAGAAAGAAAAACCATCAAGATTCAATCTTCATATAAGGAAGGAAGGAAGGAAGGAAGGAAGGAAGGAAGGAAGGAAGGAAGGAAGGAAAGGTAGGCAGGCAGACTGGTAGGTAGGTAGGTAGGTAGGTAAAACAATGTATTTTAGGGAGGGAGGGAGGAGAGGAGAGGAGAAAGATGGATAGATGGACGGATGGAAGGAAAAGAGGAGAGGAGAAGAGACAGGAGAGAGGAAGAAGAGATGGATAGATGGACGGAAGGTAGGATGGAAGGAGAGGAAGGAGAAAAGAGATGGATGGAAGGAAGGAAACAACCCATTTTATCATACATAAGAATCTCTAAAGCAATTGAAGCGTCTAGACAAAACAAGTGAAAAATACAGAAAGGAAAGAAGATAACCTTGACAGATAGACCAGATCTGTTACCAGAGTGACAAGGTGAAGTACACGATTGAAGTCCAAAACACGAAGAAGGCATGAGCAAACACCGAGGCAAACCCCTAATTAATATGAGTATAAGGGGGTGGGGACTTCAAAGATTCTGCTTATTATAGCCAACATCAATAAAAGTGATTTTAGTCTTCGGATGGCGTTGATTTCTTGGCTTGGTCTACACAGTGGGGTGGGCAGAAACCATAAGACTTCTACAGGGGAGATTTCTTGAGGGTCGATGGCCAGGATACCTTCTAGGTTCCCAGCTGTGGGAAGAAGCACGATTAGAAGTTTAACCAAAGAGGTATTTTTTCCCATTGTGACCTACCTTTCGTTGCTGGAGGGGTGAACAGCTTCTCGGAACCTTCCGATGCCTGAAAGACACAACCAGAGAAAGAGGCTTCAGTATTTTTCCAACGGTCACGACAGAAGAAAAGGTTGAGACTGATGGCTTTAGTTGCGCATCACATCTGGAGGACAGGCAATATTATTACAGAGGAAAGATGAAAAGAGAGAGAGAGAGAGAGAGAAGGTGGAGAAGACGGAACGGCACTCAAAACCAAGCCTTAGAGAATGTGGGGAAGTCCTCGACTTAGGGCAACGTTTTCATGGTTAAGCGAGGCAGTTGGTAAGTAAATTCTGCCACGTTTTGCTACCTTTCTTGCCACGGCTGTTAAGTGGATCCCTGCAGTTAGCAACAAGGCTGTTCAGTGAACCAACCTTCCGCGTTGCTTGCCAGAAGGTCGTAAAATGGGATCACATGAGCCTGCAACCGTCATAAATATGAGTCAGTTGCCAAGCAACTGAATTTGAGCCCGGTGACGCTGCAACGTTTTTTGGAGTGGCGTGGTGGCCTTACAGGTAGAGCTCTCGCCTCACCAATCAGGAGGCTGTGAGTTCGATCCTAGGTAGAGGCAGGATAATTTCTCTCTCTGGGCATAATGAGAATTTATCTGCTGAATAAAATTCCGCGTCGGTGACAGGAAGGGCATCCGGCCAGTAAGCACTCTGCTAGCTCCATTCAGTTGACCAAGCTCCACTCCGCAAGGGATTATGGGGTCTTTAAAAGAAGAAGATGCTGCTGGTTTGCAAGTCTGAAAAAATGGCCCCAAGTCACCATTTTTCCAGTCCTGTGCTAACTTTGAACCATCACTAAACGAACTGTCATTAAATCAAGGACCACCTGCACAGATCCTGCCTAAAACTTTTATCTGTCTTCTTAGAAACTGCAAGTGACGCATCTATCAAAGGTCCACTACCATTTGGTTTTGTGAGGGACCGCACAACTGCAGCCGATTATACCTGCTCTTGGCTAATCCGATTATTATGTAAAACGGTTTCCTCCTGTTTATATATCCAGGCAGCATTCTGCTTTTTTTTTTTTTTGGAAACCCCATCCATGCTACGTTTTCAGCCCTAGGAAGTTGTTAAGAAATCCAATTAACCTAAACCCTGTAAACAGACTTGTGGTTAATCAGGGATATTCAGTTTCGGTCCAGAATGTCAATAACATACAGTCGAGAGAAGAAGAAAAAACAACCCAACCCATCTATCTGCATAAGAGTTTCTCAGAAATCTAATTTATAAAGCTTGATTCCCCTATGCCAGTGGTGGCGAACCTTTCCGGCACTAAGTGCATAATGGAGCGCTGGAAACCCAAAGACCAACTGACCGATGTGTGCACGCCTGGTGTTTTTTGCCATTTGGGGGGCTGTTTTCAGGGCATTTTGGGGACCATTTTTGGACCATTTTTCAGGCCAAAAACTGCCCGAAAAACTGCCTGAAAAAGGCCTGAAAAACGGCCTGTGTTTTGGATGTTTTTCGGGCCATTTTCTGGGGCTCTGGTGCCCACAAAGACCAGAAGAGCAACTGGCACACGGCCCTATGCAAAGCAGAAACAAGAAATAAAGCAGGAAATCGACTTTAATTGGGGGGAAGGGGGTGTGGAGGGCTGCCCTGTTCTAGAAAAGGACCCCGTTGGTAGCCCTTGATGTACGACCACAACCGAGCCACTGAATTTATGTCGCTGAGCGAGACAGACGTTAAGTGGGCTTTGCGCCCCATTTGACGGCCTTTCGTGCCACGTTCGTTAAGCGAATTCCTGCAGTTGTTAAGTTGGTAACACGGTTGCTAAGCGAATCTGGCTTCCCCCGTTGACTTTGCTCGACAAAAAGGGGAGGACACGACCCCCAGGGACACTGCAACCGTCATAAATGTGAGTCAGATGTTTGAGCATCTGAATCACGTAGGACGACGGGGAGGCTGCAAACGGTCGCAAGCGTGAAAAAGAAGTCATCAACAAATTTTTTTTGTTTTCAGGGCTGCTGTAACTTTGGACAGTCACTAAATGAACGACTGTAAGTTGAGGACTGCCTGGAGCAGCATCGCCATCTGAAGTGAGTGTCGCAGAGGTGGTATTCAGCCGGTTCTGATTGGTTCTGGAGAACCGGTAGCGGAAATTTTGAGTAGTTCAGAAGAACCGGCCAATACCGCCTCTGACTGCCCCCGCCCCCATCTCTTCTCTACCTCCCATTGAGTCCCAGCTGATTGGCTGGGTCTTCTTTGGTTGTCCTGCCCAGGAGAACGGAGCTGGAAAGCAGGTTAGTGGGGTGGGGAGGGAATGGGGATTTTGCAGTATCCTTCCTGTCACGCCCACCAAGCCACGCCCACAGAACACCACACCCACCAAGCCACGCCCACAGCTGATTGGCTGGGTCCCCTTTGGTTGCCCTGCCCAGGATAACGGAGCTGGAAAGCAGGTTAGTGGGGTGGAGAGGGAATGGCGATTTTCCAGTATCCTTCCCTTGCCACGCCCACCAAGCCATGCCCACCAAGCCAGGCCACTCCCACCAAGCCACGCCCACAGAACCGATAGTAAAAAAAATTGAATCCCACCACTGGTCTAGAGCTCAGAATGACTACAGTTCGACGTAGATTTATTTCGTCGCCCCAGAATTGCAGTCGAAATATCCACAAGGAGAGAAACGAGCTTCGCCATAAATAAAATAAACACGAGAAGCCAAACTTATGGCTAAACTGGGGTGGTTTCCCCTTCCCGACATCCCTGGTTTTATTCCGGCCTCGCTGGTGTGTGGTGATGGGCTTTATGAATGACTCCAGAGCGGAGGCATAATTCATAGGCAGAGGAAATGGGATAAACACTCGGAGAAATGTTAACCAGACAGGCTAACAGTTCTGGGCTGTGACCCAGGAGATTTGCAGGAATCAAGGGGGGGAAATGTTCTATTCTGGTTTTCCTTTGGCCTTTGGAACCGGATTTTCTTTTGCAAAAAAAA